GGAGTCTACGACTCTCGACATGTTGTACATTTATTTTATTATCTTGTAAAGTGTTATTTATTTTTGTTGTACTAATTTGCAGGTGTTTTCTTTCTTTGTGTTGTTGTGAAAAATTAAAAAGAAAAAGAAAAAGTGTGAGTGCGTTGTATGCATGGTCATTATTCTTGTCTTCCAAATTTATTGTACGACCTTGAACTAGAGCGAACCCTTAGAAATCTCCGGAAATCTAAACTGACTTTAGCAATGGCTGAAGCAGTAGTTGACCAACTGTAGACATCCCATTTTTGACCGCCCTTAAGACTTGGGCGCCTCAGGTTGATCACTCGATGATGAAAGATACGCTGTACAAACGTTCGATTTCTTCAGCAAGAAGAGCTACTAAATCCCAACCTTACACCCCATTTTTGACCAAAACTATTTTAGTCCTTAAAATCCACTCTTTCAAAATATTTTCCCGAATGTTTCTACGATGTTCCGAGGCTCGCATTTCGTTAAATGTTGCACTTTTCGGTAAACCGAGTAAGGACAAAGTGGAAATAAATGGAAGAGAAGTGAACTCTTTGAAAAATCTTTAAAAACCTCTTATTTGTAAGTTTGGAGTTGAAGAAAATTGGAGGAGTGAGAAGAAAACTAGTTGGGTATCAAACCGTTAAGAGAGAACTGAGCAACCTTCACTAAATCAAGCCTATCTCTTTGTGCACTTAGAATTTAGTTGTGAAGCCACCACCATTGGAAAATAGACTTCCCGGGCTTCAATTTAGACATAAGAATCTTCTAAAGCCGAGTCCGGATGAGGAAGCTATGGCCGTTTGAAGTTGGGTATCAATCTGGTTAAGATAGAAATGAGAAATCTTCACTAAAATAGGAATATCTCTTTACAAACTTAAAATTTCGATGTGAGGCTACCACCATTAGAAAGTAGACTTTTGGAGCTTCAATTTAGACTCAAGAATAACCTAAAACCAAGTCTGGATGAAGGAGATATACTCGTTTGAAGTTGGGCTTGGAAGCAGATTTTCTGTGGCCGGTAGGCCACTATTGGTGGACGGCAAGTGGACAGCAGGCCACCATTTGTGGCTGGCAATTCACACTTCTGGCCTACCGGCCACTGGTGAAAAACACAGATATTTTTGGCTAGCTGTCCCCTAAAAGCTCCAGTTGTTCCAGGCTTGATATTTTCGACCTGAGGGGCTGTGTATAGGGGACCTTCCTTCATGGTTTAAGGTTGAACAAAAATTCCAAAAGTTCCAATTCTTGAAATTCTCTCTCTATCTCTATCTTGCAACACACACACCTTACCCAAACACTTCCTAAACCAATATTGGAGCTCTCCTTGCTGAGATTATTAAGTCCAAATTTCAGCCATTGAGAGTGATAACTTGTTGGTTTGTGAACAAAAGTGTTATTTCTCTTCAAGAGATATAACTACTAGCTCCTTTTCACTACTTCTTTTCTATATTTTCTTGCTGATTTTGAACTGTTTTTATGGGCTGAAGCTTGTGGTTTAAGGCTATTAAAGGTAGAGGGGTTAATCACCCTTCTTTGAACCTTGTTCTCTAAGCCTTTACACTTGTGTTTCCCATCTCTTTATCAACTTTTTTTGAGCTTTTTACCACTGATTTTCAGAGGTTTTCAGAGGCTAAAAAAGTGGTTTTGAAGTCCCAAAAATAGAGGGGTTAGCCACATCTCCTTTGGCTTGTTTACTAGCTTAAATTGCTCCATGTTTTAGCTTATTATTTTAGCTACTTTTGTCATCATTCCAGCACATTTTTGTACTGTTTTGGGCTGTTTTTGGACTGTCTAAACTCTAAAATTTTGGACTGAAACTTGTGGTTTAAGGCCAATAAGGGTGGGTGGGTGGCTCACCGTTCCTTCTACCTAGTTTCCAAGGCCTTTACCCTTGTGTTTCCCACCTTGTTGTCACCTTTTTTTTGAGCTTTTAAATACTGAATTTCAGAATTATTTTAGTGGCTAAAAACACCTTTTGAAGTCCAAAATTAGAGGGGTTAGCCTCTCTTCCTTGTGTCTTGTTCACTAGCTTACATAGCTCTATGTTTTAGCTTATTATTCTGGCTATTTTTGTCTTAATTCTAGCATGTTTTAGGACTTATTTAGCACTGTTTTATGACTGTTTTTAAGTGTTCATTACATTTGAGTCTTATATTACATGCTTGTAGTATAATTGTCCTCATAAGTTTGGTGTTTTAGGCCTTAGACACAACCTTATTTGAGTTGATTGCATTTATTTAGTGTTTTTCTTACTTGTTCTCATCTTTAATCACCTCTGCAACCTCCTTCATTTCTTGGCTTTTTCTTTGCTTTGAAAGTGGTTTCAAATTATTTGTTTGTTTAAACATGAGATTGAGGTGTCATGCTTAATGGTTTAATCCCTTTGGGGGTTCATTACCAACGGTATGATGTCTTTTTCATGCCCAAAACAACACTTGGTTTGAGCCCTCTTTCCATTAGAGGACTTGAATTCACTTGTGGACTTGATTGATTAAAGAATTGAGAGGTAATTAAAATGAAGTAATAAAATTGGTGAATAAAAAAGGTGTAAGATAATAATTTGGTTTAGGGTTCAATCAGACGTTAATTGAACCTTTGAGTCTTGAGCCGTTTCATACTTTTTAGTGATGAAAATGGTTCAAGATTCATTGTCAACTACTTTCCTTGATCTTTCATGATAGGGAGGTGGTTTTGAGAGTCTTATTTTGTTGCATTCATTGAAATTGCATACTTGGTTCATAACCCATCATGCAATGAAATTGCATCCATTGGTGGTTTGTAAATCAAACTTGCTACTCCTTTAAGCTGTTCAAATGATAAGGAGGGGTGAGTTGTGCAAACAAACCGTTGAGAATACCCTGTCTCTGCTCTATTTGCTCTCTGTTGCAATAGAGAAGTCCAGTCATCAGTGGCTGGAAAGCCATCATCAGTGGACGGCAGGCCATCTGCCAGCCACCAGTGCAAAATCCAACAACGTACTTTTGAAGCAGAACAGAGCAGATTCTGAGATGGAAATCAGTACAAATGTTCTATTGTGTAACAGAGGCATTCAGCAAGAGAAACAATGGCTTTTTCGGGTGGAAACCGCATTCATGCATGAGCCCTCCATCAATCCATGGGATCCGTGTTGTGATATATTAGTGTTGTGATTAGAATAGCGGCTTTGTAATTAATTAGTTAGAATAGCTAATTCGTCTCGTGTTGTAATTATTTTTATTAGTTAGATTAGTTAATTAATTCATTCATTCGGTTTGTAATAATTAGTTAAGTAGTTTAGCTAAATTATTTATTTGTTGTTGTAATAGCTAGGTAATAAGTTAGCTAGTTAGTTCATTCAGACCTTCCTGTGTGAGGGCGCAATGTTGTAATAATGTGTATGTATTTCAACCCCACATCTTTCTCCATTTTATTTACTAGCTTATGATGGTCAGCTTAGAGCATCATGTTTTGTTTAGCATACTCCATGTTTGCATCCACTTGTATTGCATGCACTGAGGTTCGGTTCATCATTTTAACTTGCATTGCTAGTTTAGTGTTTCTTTGAATACATACTTAGACTGTATGCTATCAAATTAATTCATTTTCCATATTAGTAGCTGAGCCTAGTAATTGCATGTCGCATGTGTCGCATTAGTCATATTGCATAAGTTAGGATTATGCATTTTTCTAACTCCTTTCTCTTTTGGCTTGGAGTACTAGGTGAGCCTTTACTTGCTTTAGCATATCGCATGTGTGTGATTGTTGCCCATATCTAGCATGCTTACCATGAGGCTACATGCTTAATTGCTATAACTGCTTGAATGCCTATGGATGAAGGATAATTGCTTAAATTGGAATAATTTGAGTAATGTTCATATGCGATCACTTTTTCAAGTGGTACGTATTCAAAACAATTTTCAAAACAAATATGAATCAAGTGTTCCAATTCTTGCAAATTAGTCTATACTTGTGTGTGTATCACTTAGTAATGTTAGTCTAATAACTGGAATAAGGGCATATAATGTAGATAAGAATCACATCATGATTAGTAAAGGCCGATCTTTGATTGGGCGAGCGGGGGTGCTCAATTTATGACCTTCTCTTCTCGTACCTAGGTTCCCGAGCTGAGACAATCTTGGTGATGATGGATACATGGCCTTTGGCACGAGTCATGGGTTTTGTAAATTTTCCAAAAATATTTAGGTGGCGACTTTGTATCTGGCAAAGCAGTTCATTTTTGACAATTTGATTCAAAATCGATTTTCTAAAAGATTTACTGGATTTGGACTCTTTGGTGTTTATCTATTTCACATTGCACTTGTGAGATCAGATTCAGAACCGTGGGAGTTCGATACTATAGGGCTTATTCGTCTTTCGAAAGGAGCACGAAAAGTCGAGAAACACCAACTTAACTCACTAAAGGCACATTTTACCCCTATCGCCAATGTTTCATCATCTTGCATCCGAATGCCAATTACCGAAGCAACCTATTATGAGATTAAGCCTAGTACCATTCAAATGCTTTCATCTTTTCATGGGCTTAGTAATAGGATCCCTATAAATATCTCAGTGAGTTTTTATAGACTTGTTCTACAGTAAAACTCCAAAATTTTACCAATGAGACCCTTAGGTTGAGACTGTTTCCCTTTTCACTTAAGGATAAGGCCAAATATCGGCTAAATTCCTTGCCTACCAACTCTATCACAACCTGGGACCAATTGAGGCAAAAATTTTAGACAAATATTTTTCCATAGGTAAAACCAATCAGATACGACGTGTCATCACCAATTTTTCTCAAATTGATGGTGAGCACTTCCATGAAACTTGAGAAAGGTTTTAGGATTTATTTCATCAGTGTCCCCATCGTCAGGTACCCCAGTGGCAACTTGTTCACATTTTTTATTCTGGTTTGACCAACTCATTCAAACAAATGGTCGACTCAACTTGTGGTGGGACATTTATGATTAAGAGTGATGTACAGGCATGAGAGTCGTTTGAAAATCTGAGTGAAAATGGGGCGATTCTTGCCGCCTGCCTCTCGACATGAGAAACAACCAACCCTTAGTGGTATAAAGCGAGGTGGCCTATATGAAGTAGGTTATAGTGCAGATACTGCTCAGAAAGTTGAAGTATTATCTAGAATAGTGGATCAACTGTTAGTAGCAGGATACACTTCTTCACAACCAGCACAAACGCCATACCAAGAGGCCTGCGCAATCTATTTAAGTCCAATCCACTGTGTAGCTAAGTGCCTATCAGCACCTTAGTGTCCCGAGTTAGTTCTAGAGCTTGTTACTGCGATCAGAGGTTTTTTCTAAATCAGGTAATGATCCATTCTCAAACACCAATAACCCGGGATGGAGAAACCATCCAAATTTTTCTTGGTGCTCACAATCACAAGGAAATTCCTATGTTCCGCCTCCACCAAGGCAGAATTTCCAAAATTTTGCCAATCCACCTCTCTACCAGCTTGTGTCTAAGTAGTCATACTAATATCCTCCTCAGAAAAATTCAACCTTTGAAGAAACAATGTTACAACTCTTGCTGGCTAAAAACCAACTTGTTCATTCCCACTCCCAATACATTTCAAAACTTGAGATACAAATTAGCCAACTGGCTAACACCTTGAGTAAGAGGGAGGAAGGACAATTGCCTAGTCGGCCAGTCAAAAATCCAAAGAGACAGTATGGGGTATGGCATACACGATGCACGAGGTAACATGGCATACACAATGCGCTAACATACAACCTAGCATACGCAATGCTATGAGATGAAATGGCATACACAATGCATAAATGGACTTACACTAACACAAGTGGACCTCAACCACACTCACATAGGAGGCCATAAGATGAAAATGTGACACTCGAAATGCGTGCACACGTGCACGCAAATTGAGGACCGACCCTAAGGTACTAAATGCCACTCTAACAAGACATGGCAAGGCATGGAATATGATATACTAGCATGAAAATTTCAGCACTAAAATATGACCCAAAACAGCCCCAAATCATGGAAACATGGCACCCGATGTAGGGAATGGGACCCGAAATGCAAAACTAGGCATGCGCAATGGCCTATAGCTATACAAAACATGCACTATTTGATCATGGAATGTGAAGACAGATTCAAGGCATCCCCAAAACAAGCATGTTTACATTTTTAAGAAAGGCCAAACAATGAACACAAATGGGGCTAAGCTAGCATGCGAAAATGGCCCTAAATGTGAGATAAAGAAGCAAGTCACAGCTGCTGACCCCAAACAGAGAAGGTCCCTTCTACAATGTTGAAGAGGGGCCCAAAATATGACCTTTTACAGTTTATGATCAAACCCAAAACAGTGCACAAGCATTCTCAAAATACTATGCAAAACAAGGCCAAAAAGAGAGCTATAACACAAAGTACAAAAAGGATGCCTCAAATAGTAAAAGACCCTTAATGAAACATGAATAGGGGGTCAAAATAAGGTCATTTATAGTTCGGACCAAAGCCCAAAAACAGAAGCATAAGAGGCTAACAAATCATGCAAAAATATGGCCAAAAAGAGAGATATAAAGGAAAGTGGCACATGGAAGCCTCAAACAGTGATGAGCTCTTCAACAATGTTTAAGAAGGGCTCAAAATAAGCTACTTTTCAGTTCATGACAGAGCTCAAAACAGTTTACACATAGGCCAAAAATAATGTGCAAGAGAATAGCATACAAGAGAGGTAATGAAGCAAGTGTAACAAGGAGGTCTCAAACAGGTAAATACCCTTAAACAAACATGAAGAAGAGCTCAAAAAAATGCTATTTTCAGTTAGGGTCGGAGCTCAAAAAAGTAAGCACAAGGAGGTAGAATGCGAACCAAGAAAATGGTCAAAAAGGGGAGAAGAGGACTTACCCTTGAAGACCAGTCTTTGACAGCCTTTTGGACCAAAATGCAGCACTCCTAGGCACTGAAGAACAACCTCAAGCTGCTGGAATGGAGGATGGAAGGGTGAGGCTATGGGTTGGTGAAGAAATGGGTGTAGGACTTGAGAGGTTTGAAGCTTGGAAGTGTAGAGGGAGAGAGATACAATATGGGAGCTCAAAGGTGGTTTTTCTAACCCTTAAAACCAGAGCTGGAGGTTGGTTTATATAGGCAAAAAGAGGGGAAAAAATGGGGGGAAAACAATTCAAGTTTCCCTCCAAAATGGCAGCCCCCTCCCGGATACAAAATCTGGGGAAAATGAATACAGATTTGTAATGTACCAACCCTGAGGATCATGACCAGCCAGTTTTCTTGGGCTTAGGTGGCCGGTCGGCCACCCCCTATGGCCGGCCGGCCAAGGGTCAAAAAGGTCAATGAAGATTAGTGGCCGGCCATGCCATATTAGTGGCTTCCCATGTGTGCACAACACAACTATGTGGTCAAAAACTGGAAAAAGTGAACCAGGAGAGAGAAAAGACCATTTTTAGGAGGGGTTCAAAAGGGCCAAACACAATTACTAGCCGACCATATGATATTGGTGGCCTCCCAGGTGTGTACAACACAAATATGTGGTTTAAAGCTGGAAAAAGTGGCCTTAGGGTGGTCAACATTGGCTTTCAAGTGAGAAAAATCGGGCGACGGAGGGCGATGAAGGGATAAAGTTGGCTGACAGAACAATTACTGGCCTCCCATCCTTCTATGACCTTCCTAGCAATGAAACAAAGGTCCCTGCCAAAAATGAACTCAAACCGATGCAAAGTGAAGGTTCGGGGGCCGAAACACGCAGCCCGAGGCCCCGAAAACTGACTGTTAGGCACCGGAAGTGGTGTTCGACCATGAAGTTGGTCTCTCGGACCGCAGTGTCCCTCGAAAGGGAGAAAATAAGATGCATGCCAAAAATTGGAGCAAACGGAGGTGGTTAAGCGGTCCCGAACCGAGGCACACGGCCAACGGCTCCGAAAAATCGGAAACCGGACTCCAAACGGGCAAAATGGCCTACGACCACGAAACGTAGCCCACGACCACTGAGAGATGATCTACGAGACCTCTCCCTCTCTTCGGGAAGAGAAACAGAGAAAACCGAGCCTGGTTCGCAAACCGAGGCAATGTATGAAAGAGTCCGAAAGTTCGAAGGCAAGGCTCGTAGCCAAGACTCTGAAACTTCTAAACGAGCACAAAATGCAATGTCACCGAGCGCTCAATCGGTGATGTCTGAGTCCTAAGGTCGGTAAAAAATGGGGTGTCTACAACTACCACCATCATAAAGTAGATTTCTGGAGCTTCAATTTAGACTCAAGAATAACCTAAAATCGAGTCCAGATGAAGGAGATATGCTCGTTTGAAGTCGGGCCTGGAAGCAGATTTTCTGTGACCGGTAGGCCACTATTGGTGGACGGTAGGTGGACAGCAGGCCACCATTTGTGGCCGGCAATTCACACTTCTGGCCTGCCGGCCACTGGTGAAAAACACAGATATTTTTGGCCAGTTGTCCCTTAAAAGCTCCAGTTGTTCTAGGCTTGATATTTTTGACCTGAGGGGCTGTATATAGGGGACCTTCCTTCATGGTTTAAGGTTGAACAAAAATTTCAAAAGTTCCAATTCTTGAAATTCTCTCTCTATCTCTATCTTGCAACACACACACCTTACCCAAACACTTCCTAAACCAATATTGGAGCTCTCCTTACTAAGATTATTGAGTCCAAATTTCAACCATTGAGAGTGAGAACTTGTTGGTTTGTGAACAAAAGCGTTATTTCTCTTCAAGAGGTATAACTACTAGCTCCTTTTCACTACTTCTTTTCTATCTTTTCTTGATGATTTTGAATTGTTTTTATTGGCTGAAGATTGTGGTTTAAGGCTATTAAAGGTAGAGGGGTTAATCACCCTTCTTTGAACCTTGTTCTCTAAACCTTTACACTTGTGTTTCCCATCTCTTCATCAACTTTTTTTGAGTTTTTTACCACTAATTTTCAGAGGTTTTCAGAGGCTAAAAAAGTAGTTTTGAAGTCCCAAAAATGGAGGGGTTAGCCACTGTAGACGTCCCTGAACGCCCCGGGAGGGAATCCTGTTTCGTTTATTTGGGCTCACTACAGTTCAGGACTCAAATTGTCACGGTTCTAAATCTGAACCAAAGAGTCCAAATCCGGCGAATCGTTTTTGAAAACAGATTTTTTGTAAAGAAGTGCCAAACATGGACTGTTTTGCCAGATATAGAGCCGCCACCTAAATATTTTATTTTGAGAGAATTTAGAAAACCCTGACTCGTTGCCTAAGGCCACGTGTCCGTCATCAGCAAAGTTGCCTTGGCTCGGGAACTTGGGTACGATTGGGGAAGGCCAGCTATGAGCACCCCCTCTCGCCCGATCTGAAGATCGGCCTCTACTAACCATGATATCTTGTTTTGAAAGCATTATGCGTTCTTATTCCGGTTTATTAGCCTAGAATTACTATGTGATGCGCACAGCATACAAGTATAGACTGAATTCCCTAAATTGGAACAAAACATCACATATCCGTTTGTTTTGAAAATGGATTGAAATCTGCTACTCACGAGTAGTTCTAACTCAAACAATCTAACCTTCACCCACAGGCATTCAGGCAGTAATATCACATAAGCACATAGCCACATGGTAAGCATGCTGTCATGTTAACATTCACACTCACGCCAGATGCTAAAGCATAAATACTTACATCGTACTTCGTGCCAAAGCAATGAACTAATTAGTAATCATGCATGATCCTAGTTCAAGTTAAGATGGCTAATGCAACACATGCAAAATGAAACTACAATAGGCTCGGCTATTCTAAGATGGCATATGATGATGCTACAGCTAACATGTATTCAACTTAGAATTGAAGTACAATGCAGTTAGTATGATGCGCCGAGCCCGGTGCATGCAATACGAATGAGTGTGTGCAAACATGCTATCATAAGTATGCTAGTTGAAACGTGCCCTAAACTAACCATCATAAGCTGGTAAATAAAAGGGAGAAAGACGTGGGGTTGGAAGACATACACACACTCACGCACACTTATTACACAATTGCCCTCGCTTGGAGGGTTCGAAAGAATAGTACAAATTAACTAATTATCAAGCTAATTAAATATTACAAACCCTTAATTAATTAATAAATTAACTAAGCTATGGACAGTAGTAAAAGGCCTCAGGAAGAGGGATGCACGCTTGCTCGGATTGGCTTTGC